GAAGACCCGCAGCAGCAACGGGCACGTCTGCAAGGCGAGCACAGCCCGTCAATGCCGCCCGCGGCCCCTGCCCGCCCGGCCCCGCCCCGGCCCGGCCCGGCCCCGCCGGCACCTTCTCGCGGTCGATGGGTTTCTCCGGTTCCTTCTTGATCTCCTCCTGCGTGACGCGAGACTCCACCGCCATCTCGGCTCCGGCCTCCAAGGCAGTTACCCGGATGTCTAGGGTGCAGCCTCAACTGCCCCTCTCGCGAGAGCTCGTGGCAGGCTGGATGGGGATCGTACGCATGCGCAGCAAAGAGAAGGCGGGGCGGGCGTCCACACGCGCGAGGAAGGGGAGAGGGGGGATCGTTCTACGCACGCGCAATTCACAGTGGCAAACGGGAAGATGGTTCGGCGCATGCGTAGTTTACAGGGGCCGACCTGGTCTGCTGGGTGGGGTTTGGTGCCCAAGGGGGCGTGGTTTGGCCGTGAAGGGGGTGGGGCCTGGTGGAAAACCTGGAGGGCATGGGTGGGGGGGCAAGCAACGTGCTCCTGAGCCTGCGGGCAGGCAGCAGAGCAGGGAGAGGCCCCACTCACCAGGGAAGCACACAGCGTGCAGCTGGTTTCAGGGTGGCTGGGGTAGTGCTGGCTCATGTGGACCTCACACTTCCTCCTCCGTGATGGCCTGGTACCTCAACACGTGACATGGGAGCAAGCAGAGGTGTCATGAGCGCCTGCCGTGCCCTGGGCAGAGTGCCAGCAACTGGTGCACCAGGGCTGAGGGGTGTCTTACCTGCGCCAGCCTCCCCATGCTGTGGTGTCAGCTGCTGCTGTAGCTGAAGGGCAAGCTCCCTGCACACCAGCTGCAGCAGGGGCACCAGAGTGACCCCCTCAGGGAGTCTCCTAGGACAAGCACAGCCCAGGCCCAGAAGCCTTTGCAGGATTTCATAGATTTCATAGACATTAGGGCTGGAGGGGACCTTGGAAGATTTTGAGTCCAGCCCCCCCACCCTAGGGGCAAGCAAGTCAGCTGGGGTCAAAGGATCCCAGCAAGATCAATGGGGGGCAGGCCAGCACCCAATCCGTGTGTGTGGGGGAGCAGAATGGCGTACCCCCAAGGGCACGTTGCCATGGGAAGTACAGCTCCTTGCCCCGGAATGTATCTGGAGGGGGTTGGGCAGTGAACAAGGTACTGAAATAGCCCCAGGGAGCTGCAGCTGGATGTCATGTGCTGGCTGCCCCCACAGCACAGGCTGCCCAGGGGCTGCTCCTGGTGCCTTGTGTGCAACCCCCCCCACCTGCTACACTACTGAGCCAGAAGCTGTACCTCCCTTAGCAAAAATCCCAGGGGCCTGCCAGGCTTCTGTGCCTGGGGTGTGCCTACCCTAGCAAAGGCTCTGGGGATGGGGGTGTTTTGGTAGTGCCTCGACGTGAATGCTCAAGGCAGGTGCCCTGCTGCCACCACTAGTTATGCTAGTAGGAATCACAGGACACCAGTTCTCTCTCAAAGGCCAGGGGAAAGGCATCCACATTAAATTCCATTCCAAGTGGATGGTGCAGTTCTTTGATTTCTCTTCTCTTACATGCCATGATGAACAGTGAAATAGTTAACAAAATGTTGACAAATGTCTAAATAGGCTTCTGAGCCTGCCTCTGTGGGTTCAAGGCAGTGGTAGTTTGTAGGCTGGGGCGGACAATTATTTTGGGTGGAGAGCCACTTACTGAGTTTTGGCAAGTCATCGAGGGCCGCATGACAGGCAGCCAGGGGCAGATAAATATTAATTTTCTAAACTTTTTAGGGGCCCCATGGGCTGGATAGAATGGCCCACGGGCCACATTTTGCCCACCCCTGTTGTAGGTAGAATATGCAGGGCTGTCAATTATATTTTTCGTTTTTGTTTTGCAATGTATAATACGTGATGTTGCCTTTTACCTGAATCCAGCCAAGTTCCTGGTAGTTTTGTCTTAAGGCATCATTGTTATTTATTGGTGGACTTCACTGGTAGACTTCACAGGCTTTAAAGAGACTTGTTTAAATGGGAAGTGTAGAAACACTTCTATATACTAAGTAGTCTTGTATCTGTCACTTCTGTCACTTGCTGATGAAGTTTAACTGATGTTCTGAAATAGCTTCCTACATTTGTTCTGCTTGGTTTCATGTTTGCAAATTGATTCTCAAGCTTTGGGGGCTAAATCATCTCCAACATTTTCTAATATATGGAAAAGCTTATAAGAAGCTAATGTGATTTATGCTTCTAAAACAAGACAAAATTCTCTAAGGGGTAAAGATTTTAACAGATGTCTACAGCATATAACTATGTAGCAATAAAGTGCTTTAACTACAAGTAGTTTAAAAATAAATTGGATTTCAACAAATCATTTAAAATGTTCCCATAATATCACAGACTAGAACAACCAAGTCCATATGCTATCTATTTTATACCCTAGTTTTTCCAATAATTTAACATTGCATCATGTCAGTCTTAGATCAGCTGTTGTGCTCTGCCAAGTGGAACACAGAAACAGGATAAATGTATGTTTCTGGTATGAGGATCAGAAATAAAATAACTACACTCATATCTTCATAGTAGTGATGATAACTAGGCTCAAGAGGGTGAGAAACAAAACTTCACACTTACAAGTTGATTTAAAAAAAAAAAAGAACCATTCCATTATCCTCATAGTCTAGCATATTTTCTTTTCTAGATCATTCATTGTAACAATTTTGTGCCTCCTCACCTACCATACATTTATGATAATCCTGCAAAGGCTTATACTCTTCCTTAACTATGCACTCTGTAAGAAGAACTACTCTCAAAGCATAAAGCTAAGAATGTGCATGATTCCAGCAAAACCAGAGCTTTAGAGAGATGCAATAAATGAACCTAGTTATGTTATGTCTCCTGTTTAGCAACAGGGGCTGGCATTTTTACAAGGGTGCTCCTGCAATACCTACATACCTAAAGAACTGATAAACTAAAGTGCTTCCCTGAATAAGCCTGTACTTGCGCTTATCTGAATCAGGTACCTAACACTACTGGAAAATATATGAAATATGTTGTGCATTTTTTAAAAGTAGCCTGTGATCTCATCATTGATTATTATAATACACATGCATAAAGGTGTAGAGCTACAGTTTGTACTTTTGCACTTGTATTTCTAGGACTCAGGATAGTCAAACAAAATGGCCAAACAGTTAAAAAAAAAGGAATTTAAAAGAATTTTAAATTCCTTCCCTACCTTCAGGTCTTTTACACACATCATAAAGAAGAAAAAAGAACCCAGTTTATTTTTTAATTATCTCTAGCTCTCTTTAATGTAATATCAATACAAACTGAGTTTTTAATTTTGATTTATACCACTGCTAAAATAAGACGAGAGAACCAACAAAACCTAAGTTAGTGTACCCTCGCTCCTCTCCCTTCCTTTTGTGAGAGATAATATTGACAAAGAAGCCAACCCTATGGTATGAAGTTATAATTATCACTTGAATTATCAAAGGAAGTAATTCAACATCATTGCCATCTGTAGGATGGAATTTCCAAGACAACAATGCAACTCATTACACTGTTAAAATTAGTTATATCTGGCCCAGTAATACATGTTTAGGCCTTAATACACAGACCTCCATTTGCAAAACTTAAGGAATGTATGCTTAGGATCAGGTATCATAAAAGAACAGCTGCAACAAATACAGCACAGCTATGTTCAAACTACAAGGGAGACGTGGCGAAAGGGACCTTACAGTGGGTGTCTACTACAGACCACCCAACCAGAGGGAAGAGCTAGACCAGGACTTCTCCAGTCAGCTTATGGAGGCGGTTAGGTCAAGGGATGTTATTGTCATGGGTGACCTAAACTACCCAGACATTTGCTGGGAGGAGCAGACAGCCAGGTCTAACTGCTCACATAGGTTCCTGGCTGTATTACAGAACCTTCATCTTATCCAGGAAGTGCACAGCCCCACTAGGGGTAACACCTTGCTGGACCTGGTCCTGGCCAGAGAGGTGATACTCCCCCTCTATGTGACTTTGGTCAGACTGCAGTTGGAGTACTGTATCCAGTACTGGGCGCCGCACTTCAAAAGGGATGTGGCCAGCCTGGAGAGGGTTCAGAGGAGGGCCACCCACTTGGTGAGAGGGCAGCAGGACAGGCCCTACGAGGAGAGACTGAGGGACCTGAACCTGTTCAGCCTCAGCAAGAGGAGGCTGAGGGGGGACCTGGTGGCTGCCTACAAGTTCATCAGGGGGGATCAAATAGGCAGAGCTCTTTTCTCCCCAGCACCACCTGGGGTGATGGGGAACAATGGTCATAAACTGATGGAGAATAGGTTTAGGTTGGAGATCAGAAGGCAAGATTTTACAGTTAGGGTGGCCAAAATCTGGAACCAGCTTCCCAGGGAGGTGGTCCTCGCCCCTATCTTGGGCAAATTGAAGAGGAGGTTGGACGATCATCTGTCTGGGGTCTTGTGAACCCAGCATTCATTCCTGCCTGTGGCAGGGGGGGGGGGGGGGGGATCTGTTCAGGTCCCTCCTGACCCTAGCTACCTGCTGTTAGACTTTTTTAAAATTTTCATTTATGTGAAAAATGAACCAATGTACCAAAGTTATAAGTAAACTCAGTATTGTTTTGTTTTAGTGCTCATGAAAACACATTCACAAAGTTAACTGATTTGGAATCTAAACTGATAGACGCTTCTAGTAGTGTATATATTTTCTTGTTTGCAAGATACAGCTAGGACTTATTTTGAATGTAAAATGTAATTTTACATGTATTTTTTAACATGGGTTTAATCATTAATATATAAGTGAAGGTACATAGATCCTGGCTTTTTTAACTCTGTTTGTACAATCACTGTGTTAGTCTGAAGTCAGACAAAAGGCACGAAACCTTATGCATCTCTGATTCAATTAATCTGTAAGGTGTGCCACTACCCTGCCCTCTATATTTATAGATTCATAGATGGGTTGGAAGGGACCTCAATAGATCATTGAGTCCGACCCCCTGCCTAGGCAGTAAAGAGTGCTGGGGTGGATG